GATGGCATTAATTTGCCTTGTTAGTTTATTGACAGAGACTCATAAATTGATCTCTATAACCATGTTTACTTCATTCTTGGAAACAGAATCCTAAACCTTAGGTTGATAGATTGCTACCTGGAATAAGTCATCACATTTCCCAGCTCCCCTTGTAGCTAGCTGTCATCATGTGACTAAGTTCTGACCATTGAAATGTAAGCAAAAGTGTTATGTGGGACTTCCAGAAAGAGGTTTAAAGGAAGTTTTGTTTAAGTCCAATTTACCAATATTTCTCTGTTTTTAATGTTTTTTGTGTTTAGTTATTCCAAGATTATGAATTTTTTTTTTTATAATTTGGAAGTTTCATATTATACTTATAATAATCTCTGATTTTGTGTGTGTAAAGCAATAAAATATGATAGGTTAAGATTTATATTTTTCGTATGGATAGCCACTTGTTTCAACTAGATAGCTATATGGGCTGTAAGGGACTTTTCCTTTCTGCATTAAACTGGCGAGATCTTTCTGAAAATCATTTGATCACATATGTACGCCTATATTTCTGGTTTCATTTTGTTCAATACTGCACTCTTGTGATTACTGTAGCCTTATAGTAACTCTTGAAATCAGGTACTGTAAATTCTCCAACTTTGTTCTTTTTCAATATTGGTTGATTATTCCAGATACTTTTCATTTCAAGATAATTTCACAATAATCTGTTCCTTTCAAAATAACTTTCTGGAATTTTGATAAGTTTTGCATTAGTTCTATATTTTAATTGAGAGAAAGTTTTAACTATTCTGAGTTTTCTAGTCTATGTGAGTGACCTAGCACTGCATTTTCTTAGGCATTATTCAATTTCTCTCAGCAATGTTGTATAGTTTCCAGTATGAATGTCTTATGCAGATTTTAAAAGTTTAATTCATAGGTATTAATCATTTTATTGATACCATTGTAAAAGGTTTTAACGTTTTATTTTTGATATTGCCAATCTATAAAAATATAATTAAACATATCTACTGACCTTGAATCCTATGGCTTCCCTAAATTCACTTTTACTTCCAGGACTTTGTCAATTCCTTTTAACACCTTTCAGTATAAAGAGAAACTGAATTCTCTTTTACCCCATTTCCCAATCCACTTCCCCAGTTCTTGATCCAAAAGCATCTCTGTCAACAGATTCTTGTGTCTCTTTTCGGAAATGTCCCATCCCACATATACAAGAACCAAAAGTATTGCAGCGTATTCTACATAGAGTTTTACACTTTGCCAGTCCTTTACCCCAGCATTCTGGGAGCATACACTTTTACTAGTATCTACAATTAATGTGAAGGCATAATGAACAGCAATAACATAGTTTTCAAATATATTCATATGCCATGTAATGATGTTTTAAACAAGGATGGACCACATATGGTTAGTCCCATAATACTATAATGGAGCTGAAAATTTCCTATCAACCAATGTCACAATGCAACACACTTCTCAGGTGTTTTAGTGATGCAGGTATAAACTAATATACTGCTCTGCCTGTCATAGGAAAGTATAGCACATACAATTACGAACAGCATATAGTATTTGATAGTAAACAACTATATTACTGGTTTATGTATTATATTATATTTTTAATCATTATTTTAGAGTGTACTCTTTTTACTTATATAAAAATGTTTGTTGTAAAACAGTGTGCCATGTTACACTGGCGGCAGCCTCATACATCTCCTGTTTACCATATCTGTTAATTGCATCACTTTCTCTTGTGCTTGACTTTATCTTCTGCAGTTTTGTACAGTGATATGTTGTATAGTCTGTAGTGTAAGAGCTGTAGGCTCTACCATGTAACCTACGTGTGCAGTAGGCTTTACCATCTCGGTTTGTGAAAGCGAACTCTATGATTGCACAGTGACAAAATTGGCTAATAATTCTCAGAATGTATTCCTATTAAATGGCGCATGACTGTGCTATATTTGCATTCTCTATATTTCCAATACCCAAAGTAATACACTTTTCAATGCTATTTAACAATATGAATTGATAGAAAACTCTGTATATTCTGAACAGTTTATATTAATTACACTAGAGTATTATAATGTGGGATTACATATATTCTGTTCTGCAATTAGTTTTATGGGCCATTGATTTTCAATCTTGGCTGTTCATTGGAATTACAGGCTAACTTTAATACAAATATTGATGTTTGGGCTCCACCCAGAGACTCTGATTATATTGATGTGACATATGGAATGACAAGGAATTTTTTAAATCCCCCAGGTGATTTTAATGCAGAGCCAACTTGAGAACCACTCTTTTAGACCCTGCTCATACATTTTCCTATTAAAATATCACTATATATATATATGTCTTCAAACATGTCTAAATAGATTTTAAATACAGATATAGTTTGTATTTGTAATTTTAATTAATAATGTTATGGATCCCAAAATTAAATAACTTGGAAACATAAAATCTGAATAACCTTACAGAAGGCAATTAACCTTTCCATGTTACTGTTTCTGAATGCCCCAAATGAACATCTTAGAAATGAACTGTAACTTGTTCTTAAAAAATAAGTACAGAACTCTTTCAAACACAAAATATGATACAAACGTTTAAACAAACAAAAAAATACAAATAGGATTTAGGGTAAACAACTAAAAAAAATGGGTTGTATTGATGCTCAGTACCACTTGTTAACATTTACAGTCATGGAGAATTGCTTGGAGGCAATGTTTTAATAGTAGGTCACATGATCTGTTTGTCTGATCTAGTCTGATTTTTCTTACATTATATATTCTAAAAATTTAAAACAATATTTACAAATAATGAAACCAGCCCTGGCCAGTGTGATTCAGTTGGTTGAGCATCATCCCAAGCACCAAAAAAAATGTTGTTTTGACTCTCAGTCAGGGCATATGCCTGGGTTGCAGGCTCAAACCCAAATAGGGGGCGTGTACTGGCAGCTGATCAATGTTTCTCTCACATTTTGATGTTTCTCTCTCTCTCCCACTCCCTTCTTTCCTCTTTAGAATCAATAAAAACATTTTTAAAAAGGAATAATGCAAGGAAAACATGACAAGGAATACATAAACCAATGTTAAAAAATAAAGTAATAGATTCAGAAGAGTTTGTTTTATTTACTAAAATGAAGTAACCATTGAAATAGTTTAGTACCAAACCCTATATTTTTAATGGTCATTGTTCAAATTCCAACCATTCTGACATATTTCTTGATTGTCTGAGATGTGTAGAATGCTACATTAGAAATTCTGTAGATATTAAGCAAATTTTAAAATTTAAAGCTATATATGACACAGGCAAACAGGATATATTATAAAACATAGCATACAACACAGTGACACACATTACATTCTGAGTCATCATTAGCAGGTAGACAGGCATGAAGGCAGAAAGGAAAGAAGAAAGGGAAGAGAATGTGGGGGTGTCTATCAATCTATCTATCATCTATCTATCTATCAATCATCTATCTATCATCTATCTATTTAGTTGAAAAATGTATTTGAAATCTATCATGAGAATTTCTACAGAAATGTAGAATATTCTGGAGTGGAATCTGTATATAAATTTCCCTTTTGTCATTTAATAGCTTTATAAGATTGGAGAAGTAACTTAAATTCTAAGACTTACGTTTCTTGGTATTTAAATGCATGTAATAATACATCTTACAGATGTTAGAAAGATTGAGTGTGATCATATTTATGAAAATGTTTAGCTAAGAGGTAGACTGAGTTCTCAATAGATGTTCATTATTTAATTTTTATAATTATATATAAATCACTTTTGCTTTTAAAATCCTATTTGAATCTCAATTATATAATACACATTTTGAAGTAAAGTATAGCAACCATCACCAAAGAGCTGATCTTCTCCTTTAGTTAATTTATTTCACCAGTCTAAATTGTTAAACATTTCACTGTTTTTCTTTAATATGTCTAAGAATAAGGAGTGTATCTAAGTATATGAAAGGGAAAGAAATGTGTTTAATTTGTATACTAGTGCGTATAATTTTATTATTTTTATGTTATTGAATTTATATCATCTTGATGATTTAGAACCTTGCTAAGAACAATGTTATCACTAAAGAGCTTGTTAGAAATCCAGATTTACTCAATCATTACCTCTATTTTAGCACAATTCCCAAGTGATTTATAAATATGCATGTTAAAATTTAAGTACTGTTTTAGACTATGTACAATTAGATATTATTCAAAGAAATTTTTAAAATATATGACCTAAACATTAAAAAATTCCTATTACATGCATTCTGAAACTGGCTCATATGGACATAGATTTGTTCTAAAAAAGCACTAAATCAGGAATAAAGGCATACTTTTTTATATTGGCTGTGCCATTTAATGGTAGTGAAAATTCATCAAGTTCATAAACTTCTAAGAGTCTCTGTTTTGTCATTTGTAAAGTGAAGAGCGAGTTAATACCTCTCCTGATACTCATTGAGATTGTTTAGATGTTCCAGTGAGATGGCACTTTATTAATTGTCAAGGTTTGCATGTTGTGCACTATTATGATTTATGAAATTGGAGCAGCTGACTATAGGGAGATTATGAATAAGAGCTCCGTGGGGAGAAAGACAAGATGACAACCTCAGAGTCTGATTGATAACCATTTCCTTTGCTGCTTTATAGCATAAATAGAAGGTGGCATAGGGAGGGAGTGTGCTAAAGAGAAGGGAAGTTTGGGATAATTTTGATGTTCATTTGTTTTCATTAATTGGTGCTTTGTGTTGAGTTTGTATGGGTGAGCTGAACAATTGCTTTGTAATTAGCTTGTGATGAAAATATGACCTATAACAACATAAAACAAGACAGAAAGATGAATTTTATTCATTATCTGCCTTCAGTTTTCCTAGGGAATCCTTCTGAGTTAGAATTTAATCAAATTCTGAGGAAATGTTATATGCTCTGGAATTGGCCTGGCAGTGAGAATACTGTCAGGGAGGTTTTCATGGAAGTCAACAATGAAAACTCTGGTTCTTTCTATTACAGATAAGAAAACCTGTGGACCCCATGAATTCCAGTGTAAAAACAACAACTGTATTCCAGATCACTGGCGGTGTGATGGCCAAAATGACTGCAGTGATAATTCAGACGAAGAAAACTGCAGTAAGTAACACTTTCTTGAGAATGTTGAGAGCTGGCAGCCTAGTCAGAATGCCAGATAGCAATTTTAAGCTCAGTGATGGTATGAATATGAACCTATCTGTCCGGCAGCTCACATTTTTATACATATATTCACATTTGGACGAGAATATTCAGACTAAATTGACCTGAATTTCAAATGGTAGAATTTTTGAAATGCTCACCGTGGGAGTTATTTTCTCATAGTTATCAGAATTGGTATGAAAGTATCATGAGGCTTAATGCACCCCATTAGTATGCAGAGAGGAAGCGCTGGATGCACGCTCATACAAAGAGCTGAGTGATATGGAGACAGCACAAAACATACCATTCTTCAATGGATGGTATTCATTTCATTTCAGTCTCAAATTCTTTCCCATTACAAATCCACCCATGAGCTTCTTTCAGGGAAATTCATTTATTCTCTCCGGAGTGGTGAACACCATATTTATCCAGGAAGCTTTTCTCTGAAAACAGAATAACACTATTATCATTATCTGCCTCCTGCATTTCTATGTAGTAAATTCAAAACATAATAATTATCCAACAAATTTATTTTCTAAAAACGATGGGGATATGTAAAATGGTGACAGTATTTCTATATTCTAGCATTAATTTCTGAATATATTTCTTACTGGTACTTTCTTATACTACATTTTAAACCAAAAAAGAAAAAGCTACATAATCATGTTTAACATAAGATAATCGAATTCTATTTATTAAATATTTATATTCTACTACTTCCAAAAAGGATTTGATGATAACAATAATGTCTACTTTTATAAACGGGACTACGATTCCTTTCCCAAGACACAGGAAACAAAATAGGAATTCTTACATTAACGCCTAATGTTTTATTATATAAAAGCCTACAGTTAGTAGAGTTACAGCCACAATAAACCAGTGAGCTATTCAGTTTGCAAAATATCAACTAATCTTTGAATAACTTTCAAAACTGAACCTGACCAGTGTTTGAGTGTCAGGTACATTAAGTATGAAAACTCTGGATCTTTATTATTATGAAATACTCTGAATACAGAAATCTTTATTGCTCCCTCTTCACATAGATATCTCCCAACTGATCATATTCTTTAGGAAGGTAGAAAGCATTGCAAAGAGTCATTTGAGTGTTCTAGATTCCTTAAATTGGTCATTTAAAAAATAATCTTTAAATGGCATGTTCTCAGGTTCTGCCCAGTGAAATAAATAATCTAATGGAGTAAGGTAGGTAGAAAAAGGAGAGTAAATACAGAAAGAATTTTGTATATACTTTCTATTTAATTTATTTGTATTTTAGAGCTTAAATATAATAGGTAAGTACTTAGTTTGAGATATATTTAGTGTTAATTATGTGTACTATACCTGAGAGAAAATGCCCTATAACTGAAGTTATTGAGAGCAAGAGAGGGAAGATGGGAAGGCAGTATTGGAGGTTAAACCTTAGAAAACCTCTGTTCCAATGTGTGAGACGCTAGGTCGCTGCTGTAATGAACAAAGGAGGAGAAGAACTGAGGGTTGAGATGCCTGCTTCTGACTGTTGGGGCTTCCTAAGCGGCTGAGTACCATTTTGCTGACATTTGCAGCCTTTGACGAAAGAAAACAAGAAGGGATACTGCCTCTCACTTGTCACAGTAAAAAGTTCATGGTAAATCACTGTAGCCACAGAGGCCTTAAGGAAAAGCAAGAGAGGTGGTTGTGGTATCAAGCATTGCGATGTAAAATACCCAATTATGTGTGACTCTCTTCGGACCCTTTTAATTTTGAGCTCGTGACCTAAGACAAGTAATATTGATGAATGTTCAGAAGAGAGATGATAGGGAACTAGAATAAAGCATATTAGAGTAGTGACATGGAAGAAAAGAAAGCATACACAGGACAAGTATAAGAGTTGGGAACATGTCAAATATGTAAAAATATATAATAGGAGGATCAAGGGATCTAGATAAAAAGTGGTGTTTGAAGATACCATCTTGAATAGGCCAGAAGAAATGAGGTTTAAAGACTGAAAATGCCAGCAGTTCTACATAGAGAAGCTGAGTCTTTGAAGAATGAGTAAATAATACAATATATCTATAGGAACACCAAGAGATTAGTCATATAGAAGTCAGACTTAGAAAAAAATACTGTTGCTGTATTAAAATGCTATCAAGATATTTCTATTTTCTTGTTATCTATTGAAACTATTATGATTTTGTATGTATAATTATAATAAAACTAGAGGCCCAGTGCACGAATTTCATTCATGGGGTGTCCCTCAGCCCAGCCTGCACCCTCTCCCATCTGGTACATCCCTCTCACAATCCAGGACTGCTGGCTCCCAACCACTCACCTGCCTGCCTGCCTGATTACCCCTAACCGCTTTTGCCTGCCAGCCTGATCACCCCCTAACCACTCCCCTGCCAGCCTGATCTATGCCTAACTGCTCCCCTGCCAGCCCGATTTTCCCTAACTGCCCTCCCCTGCCAGCCTGGTCGCTCCCAACAGCCATCCCCTGCTGACCCGGTCACCCCTAACTGCCCTCCCTTGCCAGCCTGGTTGGCCCCAACTGCCCTCCCCTGAAGGCCTGGTCGCCCCTAACTTTTCTCCCCTGCAGGCCTATTCGCCCCCAACAGTCCTCCCCTGTCAGCCCAGTCACCCCTAACTGCCCTCCCTTGCCAGCCTGGTCCCCCTCAATTGCCCTCCCTGCAGGCCTGATCACCCCCAACTGCCCTCCCCTGCAGGCCTGATTGCCCCCAACTTCCCTCCCCTGCTGGTCATCTTGTGGTGGCCATCTTGTGACAATGTGGGGGAGGCCATCTTGTGATGATGTGAGGGTGTTGCATGAGGGCGCGAGGGCTCAAGGGCATGAGGGCCACCTAGGCTTTTATTAGTATAGATATAGATGACAACAATATACCTAAAAGGGTAGTGGTATGTTATTATCATTTGTAAGCTAATATTAAGTAGTGAAACATACTCAACAGAGATAGTTAATCAGTCTTATAGTTCAAAAACAACAGCATTGTGTTTTTTGTTTTTTTACATAACAGCATTCTATCAGCCAATACTTCCTGTATTTCATTGCCTCATTTATTTATCACATTTATCTTAAATTACTATTTAAGTAGCTGGAGATGGTCTACAGTGGTGCTATGTTCCAGAGCCTAGCACAGTGCCTGTCACATATTTATAATATTACTACTGTATTCTTATTTTTTATTTTTATGCAGAATATTTTATTTATGTATTTGATATCTGTAGAGATATTTCTGTCCTTATCTCTTTATATTTGTCTCTGTGTTCTTATTGAACCACAATAATTCCTAAAGGATAAGGCCTGTATCTAACTCAGTTTGTACACTGTTAACAGAACATTATCAAATGGACATCTTACACATCCTATATAATAAAAGCCTAATATGCAAATTATCCCTGGGGTGGTCGTTCAACTGGGAGTTTGACCGCTTGCTATGATGTGTACTGACCACCAGGGGGTGGTACGGAACATTGCAGGCATCAGCTGATTGCCCCGCAGACGGTGACCAGGCACTGAGGGAGCCGGGCAGGGGGCCCGGCCCCGATGGACCTTGATCGATTGCCCCACAGGCAGGATGGTGGAGCAGATGAGGTGGTGGCGCCAGGCCAAGGTCGGGTGCCAGGTGGGGCTGTAGGGTTGCGAGGCTGGGGGCAAGAGCTGGGGTGCAAGGCTGGGGGCGTGAGCTGGAGCACAATCTTGGCAGGCGACCCAGAGGGACCCCACCAGTGCACAAATTTGTGCACCAGGCCTCTAGTTTCAATAATTATAAGACAGAAGGGAGAACAATCAAATATCATTCAGCATGAGACCTAAGAAAAATGGATGTGTAAATACATACAAAAATTCCTATTTTAGAATTATGCTAAATAACCCTTTTGTTTTAATGACTGTATTGTTGATTGTTTTAGCCCCTAAATTATCACTACTCATTCTAAATCAATCCAAATAATGAAAAGGCTTTTTCTTTTTTTAACATGAAAAAGAACATCAGTAGTATGGTCTATTTCATTTGTCTTCACTTCTCGTTTTTCCTCACCGATCATTATCTTTTTTAGTCCAAGAGCCAAAAATATTTGTTATCTTGCCTTTGCATTTTTATTTTTTGTTGCAATTTCCCCCCTTTTCTTTAAACAAGAAAACCAATATAATCTCATGTCTAAATTTAAAGACAGATTTTACAAATTAGTAATGTATTTTTAAAGTTGCTTTTGGACTTCTTTGTTTATGAGTCTGATTTAATGAATTTAATTTTTAAAACTGTGTTGGAAACACTCTAGGCTTAGATATGAGAATAGTTTAATAGTAGTGGAACTATTAACTGCCAACTATATTTTGTAATTAACATGCTTTCTATTTTCTTATATTTGCATGAGATAGTCTGTTGTTATTTCATCATCATCTGCTGACCATTTCCCTTGTTAAGTTTTCAGCAGGGAAACTTTGCTTCAGCAATTATTTCTGCTTTTAAAAACAAGAACATTTTATTGTCATTGAAATTATTTCACAATCTATATCAAATATTTAAAATATTTGAAAAATCTCAACACCTATACTATTTTTATCAGCAGCAAATAGAATATATATGGCATGTATCCCTTCTAAGTAATTGATGTACAAACAAAGTCCTCATATCTTTGCATTATTAGAAACTAGCAATTCAACCGATGTAAAAATGCCAAGTAATTTGATCAACTAGATTAAGATTTATCTATAGAGAAAAGCTGTTTGCCTTATTTGAATTTCTAGCACTTTCACACTGAATTTATATCAGAAGATTATTTGTATAGCATGTCAGTTATACTAATTATATTCTAAGAATTCTCCTCTGATGCTTACACCCACATTCCTATAACTTTCTAACTTACCACCAAGGGTTTATAATAATACTAGAGGCCCAGTGCACAAAATCTGTACATGGGTACGGTCCCTAGGCTTGGCCGGCAATCAGGGCTGATCAGGGCCTTCCATCTGCTGGCCAGGGCCTTCCTTCCCTGGCTGCCAGCTGCTGGCCGGGGTCTTCTTTCATTCCACGCTGCCCCCTGGTGGTCAGTGCACATCATAGTGAGCTATCAAACTCCTGGTCGGTTGAACTCCCGAGGTGACACTTTGCATATTAGGCTTTTATATAGATAGATTTGTTGCCTAGGATAGGAAACCTCTATGACAGCTAACAAAGTACAATATTTCTATAATAATAATTATGATGATGATGTTGAAAATTGTAAGTGCCTGCTTTATGACAGCCGGAGTTGTAAACATTGTATAAATAGTAACTCATTTTAGTGGATAGTACTAGTATTACTGAATACTGGGCACTTGGCTTCCTTTCCCTAATCCCCTGACCCTGGCGACACTAATGGAATGTAGGCCGTGTCTATAAAGAAATAATTTACTTTGATGATGGTGGATGAAGGTTCTGAACCATGAACTACCCTCATCAAAGAATGGTAATGGTAACCCAACAAAAAAAGGTACCTTTATTTACCTATTATCTTTTGCCATCTTAATGTGCAATGATAAAGAGTTTTGTTTTCACTTTACTTAGATGAAGAAGTTGAAAGACAGGCTAGGGGGTCATCTTTGTCTTATCTTCTCCCTTCACCCCAACCCCCACCCCTAACCTCTCATATAATAATTAACATTGGACAAATGGGTTTTTCAGATTTAAGTCTTTCTTTTCTTTTTTTGCTTGTAAGATGGTTGCTTTTTCTCTTCCCTTCAGAATGTTGCCATTTTATTTAACGCATACCCCAAGCCTCCTTCTCTCAGCTCAAATCTTGACCTGGAACAGAGTTAAAGCTGTCTAAGGCCATGCCACATGACCAGTAAGAGGCGGTGGCTTAAGAAAGGGGTTCTCCTAAATCAGCTGCCAAGAGCGCGAAGGCCAGTCCCGCTGCCTTTCCCCTCCACTGGGAGCACCCACCACCCCAGGCCTTGGAAAGCTACATTTCCAAAACTACACACTCCCATTCCACCACAACAAAGCTTTCTCAGAGCACACAGCGCAGCATCCTCTTCCCCAGTTCCTAGAAAAACAGCACTACCAGGCCAGCGGCCTTCTGCAATCCTTGGCCAGGATGCCTCAGGCTTCCTGGTCCCCTATGGGCACCTGAGCACTTTAGTCCAGAAGCGGGGGAGCCAGGCAAAGGGAGGATGAACCCAAGGCAAAAGCCCGGGAGAGTCCAGACTGCTGGTAAGCTGAACCTTTCCCACTCACCACCCAAATCCTGTAACACCACAGCCAGGCTGGCCACTGAAGGGGTTGCAAGTTTCAATGCTCCCTGCAAGAGTTGGTGTTCTCTGAATCTGGGCAGATGGGAACGAAAGGCAACCCCAGCCCTCTGGCAACGCTGTCCCTCCTGAACTAGACATACACACCCTGGGATTTCTGTTTTCTGCGTGGAGAGAGGGAGAAATGGAGGATGAGAGGTGGGGATGGTGAGGAAGTAGGTGTGGTGATTCCTGGAGGGAACAGGTAAGGGCTGGTTACAGTCATCTCTCTGCCCTGGACAGAGCCCAGTTCAGGGGCCGCTGGCCTGCTCATAGCTTTGTTCTCAGCATCCTGGTCACTGGCATGCAAACACCCCCCCCCCAAATCGTCACAACTGGCCAAGAGGCCCCTGACACCCCCATAACAGCCCCAACCTCAATGGCAGAAGGAAGAAACTTGTACACAGGCACTCCAGCACCAGCTGTTGCGGTTTGCCTCCGAGGACCATTTTAAAAGCCAGGATAATGATCATTAAATAAAAGAATTAATAGTATTTTGTTTTCTTTTAAGTCTTTGGGAAAATGAAATTCAGGTTTTCAACCAATCTACTAACATTTATAGTCACTTGTGGTGAAGCGGGGTATGTGTGGGGGCTGGCGGGGGAGTTTGGTGCTCAAGGTGGGGAGTGCGAGGAAGGTGCTGAGGGACACTGTGGAGAGGGAGCAGTCTGGGCACCCTGGTCACCATGCCATTTGTGGGGCTGCGACACCTGCCTGCCCACCCGCCTTACCTATAGATGCAGTTTCCATGACAACAGGCAGTGACCAGGCGGGATTCAAGCCTAGTTCCTGGGGCACCGCTTTCCTGACCCCCGCGCCCAGCCCTTGGCCAGACTCCCCACCTGCAGCACTGGCCTTGCCCCTTTTGGCATTACTGCTTCACCCTCTCCTTCCTCCCAGTCCCCAAACCACTGGGACCTGGGGCCAGCCAGCGGCAGCAGCTCTTCTTGGGGATCGGGTGGTATGGCCATGGCTGGCAGTCCCCGGGCACGGTGACGGCAGCTGAGGGGCTTGGAGGTGTGATGGCTGGACCAGCTGGCACTCCCTGTTGCTTTGCCCCCTCCCCCACAGAACTCAGGGCTTGGGAGGCTGTGGTATGCACCACCAACACTGCCACAACTCCGGCTGAGCTGCTGCCCACCATGCTCCCTGCTTCAGCTCCTCCTCCTGTTGGGGGCCGATGGAGCTGGGCTGGCTGGGGGTGGGGTGGGAGTAGAGTGAGGGGTTGGGGGTGGGGTGATCGGGGCCTGGATCAGGCTGGTTGGCTGCCACAGTGCGCATCATAGCAACCAGTCGTCCTGGTTGTTCTGGTTGTTGTGTTGTAATGGTCGCTGGGCTTTTATATATATAGACTAGAGGCCTGGTGCATGAAATTCATGCATGGGAAGGGTTTCTAAGCCTGGCTGGTGATCAGGGCCGATCTGTGGGGCCCCCACTGGCACCCACTTTGGCTGGTCTGGCACCACCCTCTGCGGGGCAAATGGCAGGGCGATCGAGGCACCTCTGCTGGTACCTGCCTTGGCTGGCCTGGGGCCTGTGGGCTGGGGGCAGCCCCTGCATTGAGCATCTGCCCCCTGGTGGCCAGTGCGTGTCATAGTGACCAGTCGTTCCTCTGGTTATTCTGCCATTCAGTTGATTTGCATATTAGGCTTTTATTATGTAGGATACACAATGGAGAAATTGGAGTCTGTAAACCTTTCTGGTCTGCCACTAACAATATGGCTTTAAAAATCAGTTTTATTTTCTGAATGTAGTTACTTCAATTTTGTTCAAGATGGCTTTCAAAGCTGTTTATTTCTGAGATTGTTTTGCCTTCTCTAGTATCAATGGACATGACCAGTTCTCTTTGATTTTTATGAAATGAAATGGACATTGTTAGCCATTTGCCTTGGACAAGTAACTTGAATTCTCAGGGATTTACCATTCATCTCTGTAATATGCAAGCAATTACTTCCTCAGTACAGGAGGCAATAGTATGGCCTAACAAAGAAGCATAGGCCCTGGTATCAGGTCATCTAGGTTCAGATTTAGTACTAGCTCTTCTGCATACGGGGTGATTTGGAGTAAGTTCCTTATCTTCTCTGTGCCTCAGATTGCTTGTCCAAAAAGGGTCCAATAATAACACTACCTTATAGAGTACTTCAGATTGATGAAGTAATTCAAGTACTTAGCATTAATGTCACCTAGTGCTTAATACCAAATAAGCAATCAGTAGCTGATAGTAATTATTACTGTTATAAGTAGTAATACTAATATTAATACAGTTGTTTTTTTAAGATTCAAGTACTGTATAATATATGTAAACATAGGCAAAGGCGAAAAGTAAAAGAAGCTACGATTGTTATGCTCACATAGGAGTATTGAGACATGAAGAGGATCCTCCAGTTAGTGTCTTTTTTCCATTCTTCAAAATAGCAGCTTGTCTTATTCTATAGCCTGAAGTTCACATTTTAAAATAAAGTGATAACAAAATGTTCTGATACATATTCCACTTGCCACTGTTCCCCCAGTGATCTCAGCAGTGTTCTTTATGTAGAAATGTAGGAGCTTTCATGATTCCAGGCATTCAAGATGTTACCCTATAGCAAGAAACCAAGTGCTGTGAGAGCAATATTCAAATGCAGGCTGAGTTATTCACAATCTTTATGTAGGAGATTAGGCCTCATATGGATGTTCCTTAAAAGTAATTCCAATTACTTCTTCTCCTTCGCCCGAATAAGAATATTATTGTTTGTAAGATAGCTATAAATACAGTTAACCAGTAGAGAAAAACGTCTTTCATCATGCTGGATATCAGGTCGGTTTAGAGAACAAAAACTAAACAAGGGGTGATTCCCAGCAGTCCTAGAGATTACTTGCAGGGGCAAATTTCTGCAATCCTATTTTACTGTCCAGATGAAATACATTCCACTTAAGCCAGGTAGCAAGTCATACTATTTGGCTTATGTCCTGTGTGGGATATGGTAAGCATCATTAAATCAACAACTGGAAAATTACCCAAAATGACAGGTAAATTACGTAGGGCATAAGCAAACAATTGTATAAACAAATAGGCAGTTTTCAAAGAAAAAAAAAAAGAGCTTCCATCTGCCTCTTCCACCTGTATCCACCAGTCATGTCCAATAATACCCTCCTGTGCCCTTCTTGTTCTATGAACTCTGGCGTATCTGGGGACAAAATTGAAGAATTAGAAAGTCATTATAATGCATAGTAGAAAGTAAAGAACCACTGGCTAGACTCCTCAGTTAGGAAATAGCCCTGTGAGAACAGAGTTTCACAGAATGTCTTACTCCAAGTAAACACATAAAATGACTCAGAATTCCAACAACCAGGAAGGATTACTGCTATATTATAATATGTAGCTTTTTATGCCTTTTATTGTACTTTGCTGCTGTATGTTTATGGAACAATGGGCTATTCATCTCTTGTCTTTGTTTCAATTTGTCTCTAGAATGCCACTTTCTATTCATGACTTTAGAAATAAATTGGAAAGGTCATTATATTTTGTACCTCAGATGCTTCATCAAACATTTTTCCTAAACGATTTATTAGTTATAACCACTTTTTTTTTATTAACGCTAACCTCGTGTTGTATGTTATTTAAATTTTAAAATGCAGTTGCATATAATAGGATAACCCTGTGCTGCTGTTTCTGTCCCCAGAGCCACAGACCTGTACGTTGAAGGATTTTCTCTGTGCCAATGGGGACTGCGTTTCCTCCAGGTTTTGGTGTGATGGGGATTTTGACTGCACGGATGGCTCTGATGAGGTAGGCAGCTTTGCAGCATCAAACAAAAACTAAAGTGGTGTTTTAGAATCACACGTATAATTATTATTGTTTAATCCAAGGACACTCTGAAATGTGCTTTGCTCCTGACACTCTGAGAGATAAGTATTATGTCTAAGCTCAGAGCCGCACACGCCCAGCACAGGGAATAGTGCTTGTGCTACTGTTGACAGTCAATTTTATAATCTGTTTTACCTCAAGTGGTGAATGGCTCGGTTGGGAATAGGATGTTTGGAAACCTTATTCCCTCTAGCTGCTGCCCTTGCTGTTAGTGAATGTGTTCATAAATTTGCTGCAGTATCCATAGGCAGGACTAATATTTTATGCATTTAAAACAGTTTCTTCTCCCCAGTCTCTTTCTCCATAGATATAATCTCAAAGACATCGGTGTAGGTCATCAATTTTCATGAAACCACAGGTTCAGCTTTGCTTAGTTGATGAATCACAATCCATTTATAACAAGGCCTGTGTACACACAGCTTAAGCGAAAATGTTTAGAATGTCTCTGGATAATTATGTAAACTTAGGTTGTGCTAACATTTATGCTACTTCACACAATTCGTTATTTATGAATCTATGTTTTTCACCTATTAATTACTCCATCCATGATGCTTTAAAAATAATACATGACATGTGGTTATATTTTTTCTCAATCAAATCTAAAATGACCTGATGACCTCAGTTTTTAATACCAGGGAGCAAATCAGCAACAGTCATTTCTCATGAGTTTCTCTGTTAATGACTGTGCATGTTAATATCCAGAACACAGCACTTGTGCGATCAAATCCAGTCAGAGATGAAGGACAAATGTGGTCCATGGTCCTCAGTGGCCACTGGGGCTCCTTCTGGGGAACATGACTCCCTGGAGCACCGCTGCTTTGGTTGACATGCATATGTAGTTCCCCCTCCTGAAGGACCTCGGCTGGCTGTGGGCATGGCCAGAGACAATCTTCCAGGGGGCTCCAGAGGTTTCTGAATTTCAGGTCCAACTCCCTGCAGTATCCACTAAGATCCTGCCTCTTTGGGGGAAACCAAAGGTCTTTACTATTGATAGAACCCACATGAACTGTTTTGTCCCAGTCTTCAGGCATTCTTATCAAGATTACACAATTCTGCATTACATCTCACTATCTTGAAAAATCCCTCTAATCACATTCAGGTGCCTGGATTTTGGAAACCAATGGCTATAACTTCTCACCTGGAGGCCAGGAAACCTAAACCTCCAGGTTGCGAAGGTTTCCCAAAAGTTGAAAAATACTATTTCTATTCATGGGAGTTAAATTCTTACATTGCTCAGCTACATCTTTATTTAGCATCTATTTATTCAAGGATTATATTAAACATTTCCCAGTCAGGAAAAACACATTTCACACAAACTTCTTCATATCATGAAATTGTTTTGTTTTCTGTAAAAATATTTTCCTCAAGCCCTGTTTAATCTATGAAACATCAAGAGGAGGTGATATATTGCTTAAGGCTTATGATTTTACCTTGCATGTTATTCAGGAAATGTCCAAGGTACATGTACAGAAGCAAACATTTCTTTTTCAAAAGTCTTACTCATGTTAAAGTAGACCTCTATTTCCAGGTCCTAGAAAGGAAATTGACAAAATGAGCAGCTAACATCGTGTCAAACCAGACAAGACTCTTAGGATTGTGTCCAGAGTACTTAGGAGCAAACTTGAAGAGATTTCCAGTGATGAAAGGAAAAATTTGAGCATCATAAAAAATAAAATGGTTGCAATGGATTGAAATACAATAAATGTATACAAATACATAAGTTCATAATAATTTTTAGAAAAAATAAAAGGCTTATTTTTCACTTCGGAGGTTGTTAAGCTATCTGCATTCTTAATATTCAATCAGACAAATGTAGAATGTGGGACATTTTATAGAACAAATGATCTTTAAGTAGTAAATATCATTTAAGAAACTAGGAAAATGGGAAATAGTCCCATATTAAAAAAAATATTCAAACCAAATTCAATGTGCAGACCTCTTTTAGATCCTTAATGTACCGAGCAATCATTTATACAGTTAAGAAAACAAGGATATTTGAGGAAAGGATTAAGAATAACTTTATATTAAGGAATTTTTGTTAATTTTGTGATGTTAATTTTCTGATATTGTTGTTTTTATATTAAAATAATTCAGAATGTAAATAAGTGGGAAGAGGATGTATGAAGCATAAAATATTGTTAATGGTTAAACATGCATGGTGGGCACATGGGACTCATTGTTCTAGTCTCTCTACTTTCTGTGTATGTTAATTAAATACCTGACAAATAAACACACACACACAAACTATGCTTTATTGTAGATCAAAATCTTCTGATGATCTAGAAAGTGCCTAAAATTACCACTTCACTTTTTGTGCTGTCAATAAAGATACACCAGTGCCATTGGTTAATGAATTAAGAATTATTTCACTGAAATTTGACTTAATGCTGAGATAACCCTTCATTAATTCTACAAATATATATGGAACAGTTATTATAATCATGATGTGGTAATAGATACTGGGTACTTAGACAAATATGATTCCTATCCCAGTGGAGCTTAATTACATGAGAATGTTTTAAATTAAAAAAATATATTATTACTGTTGAGAGTACTACAGTATCCCCCTTATTTCCTCCTCATTATCCACCCCCACCTGGTTCCCGTCCTGCCCCAGGCATTCACCACCCTATTGCCCCTTATTTTCTGCATTTGCTACTTCATTCACTCATTCATTTATTCATCAGTTTCTATTGAATGCTTATTATGTCCCAGGAACAACACTGAGCATGAGGAGTATAGCAGTGAATAAAACATATGAAATCTCTTTCTCATGACTACTTCTCTAACACTTTTGACACCATTCACTGCTACATAGCTTACTCCTCAGATATAGCGCATTTCAAATTATCCTTACACATTAAAAGCCTTTTCTTAGGTAGTTCCATTTCTGTTTAAGCTTTCATTGTGAAGCCTTTCTTAAAAACCTTAAGAATATGTATGTTGGAAACCATTGAACTAATTTTGACAATTGATGTATTTTATTGTAATTGTTAGTTTAGGTGCTGGCCTTTCTAACACTCAATGAGTTTATCAAATACAGGGAGAAATATTATTTTGACTTGTATTCTTAGTTAAGAAACACTCTGGCAAAGAGTAAACTCTTTATACTTGGGAAAAGAAGGGAAGTGGAAAACAAATTATACAGCAGGCAGTCTATTAAACTACTATCAACAAAGAGAAATTGTAGAAATGTAGAAAGTAAGCTCTCCATTCCTCCAAGAGGGTAAAACTAAGAAGAAGCAGACAGTAATGGATTGAGATGTTCCATTTCACAAGCTGTGATAAAGTTGCACTGGTTGTGGAAGGAACAGACAAGTACATTTTGGCAAGAATATAAATTCCTTAACAATAAAAAATCATAATCCCAGCAAGACATGTCATTGTACCATTCCATTTCAATCAGGATGGCAGCCCCGAAGGAAGGTAAATTTCTAGTGGATCCCTTTCATTGATCACATATAAAGAATTGACATATCCCCGAAGGTATATCTACTATTTGACTTCCAAATAAAATCTATATGTGAGCTAGCAGAAATGACAATTGTGACAGTTCATTTCACAGTTAACTTTACGAACAATTGTTGGGAGAGAGGATTGTGAACAGCAAGCCAAATAGTAAAAGGACAGGTACAGAGGGAAAGATGAGAAGAAGGCTAAAGAAAGAACACGAGGAGAGATTTGCCAATGCCAAACAGATTTGCTTTAAGTTTCTTGTTTATTTCACATGCCATCTGCCCACCCCACTCCCAATGAACTGGATGCAATTTTTAGAAATAATTCTTTAACCTTTTTTCCTCACAATCTTCATTCTCCCTTACAGTTATTAAAATTGTGTCAGCCCCGAACAATCCACTTTGAGCAATTTAATTCGTAGGATGAAGTTGAAGCATTTATGTTTTTATTTTCATTTCTCTGTTTTATTATCACTCACAAAGAAAAGTGGAAATTTGTTATAATTATGTTATGTAGCACTGGGCTTACACGTGACCAACTGAGCTATTTATACGGATTGGGGCAAAAGGAGGTTTACACTTGTGAATATGCAAAACACAGTTTATTCTTGTATTATTATTTATTACTAATTGTATTATTGTTTTTCGTATGGACAACTGTAAATCTACTTTGCCCCACCCTGTATGTGGCAAACTTGATTTCTATACTTCTAGGTTTCTATGCATAAGGGTTTAGTTGTCTTTGGGTTATATTTGTCTAATAATTAAGTTTTAATTACATCTGTGTTGTGTTTTTTTACAGAGAAATTGTGAAACTAGTTGTTCCAGAGATCAGTTCCGATGTTCCAATGGTCAGTGCATATCAGCAAAATGGACATGTGATGGTCATGAAGACTGTAAATATGGAGAGGATGAGAAGAACTGCGATCCAGGTAAGACAATGCAGGTGGCATTAATTTAGCTGATATTTCAACCTGATAGAATTTAAATTTGCACAATGATATTCAGAAAACAGTGGAAAATTCATACACAGATTTCTGTTTTTTAGACATAATCTGAAATATCTGTATATAGCTTTACTGGTGTGCCCTTTTTATGTTTTGAAAGTGTTTCACAGGTAAGATTATTACTATGTTTGAGATCCAAGCATTACTCCCCCAAATTTGACCTTTTAGTTTCTGTATCTTTCCACGTCATTTGGTATTTTTTTTCATGACAACACAATGAAATATGTTGAAACTGTAAGTATGATAAAAGTTAAGTTTTCTATTATGGAAATTAAAATTATGAAATAGGGTATAGTAATTTCAACATGATACCAACTGAGAAAAAGTATAAGTGTATTATTTCTGTTTACATCTTGGTCCAAAATCAAACCAAAATTAGGAAGCAAAACCAGCATATAGGAGAAACACACCCAATTTATACATTTTCATTTCTTAAATATGGCTCTATAAATATGCTTATTAAAAACTTAATTTTTATAGTTAACTATTTTAAAAACGTATTATAGAAATCACTAGGGAAAGTATACTATAATCTGTGTATAACCATGAAAGCATTACTTTGAGAGATTAGTTAAGAGTAGCAGATACAATGCACACACGTGACCATGTCCAGTACCACGCCCATGATCCATAGCTCTAATTCAGTGGTTCTCAACCTTCCTAATACCGCGACCCTTTAATACAGTTCCTCATGTTGTGGTGACCCCCAACCATAAAATTATTTTTGTTGCTACTTCATAACTGTAATTTTGCTACTGTTATGAATCGTAATGTAAATATCTAATATGCAGGATGTATTTTCATTGTTACAAATTGAACATAATTAAAGCATAGTGATTAATCAAAAAAACAATATGTAATTATATATGTGTTTTCAGATGGTCTTAGGCAACCCCTGTGAAAGGGTCATTCGACCCCCAAAGGGGTCGCGACCCACAGGTTGAGAACCGCTGCTCTAATTGGTCACATCATTTTTCTTACTGAATCCAGACATGTTCTCGGACTCATTAATAAAACAAATCCTAGGCAACCATTGTCAATTAAAATAAATTAAAACATAAGGAAAAAGCTTTTCAGCATTCCTGGAACATGCAATTCAGACCACAAAGTAAGTATACGGTATTTGTCTACCTAGTGTCTAAAATAAGGCTAAGAACCCTGAAGTTTGAATGCAAACAAATGCAAAGCCATAGCAAAAGCAGCTATAATAATTATGATGTCAATTAATTAGATTGGGTTCTGGTAATTACTTATATATCTACTTGTTGTTTTTATTTTCTGTGTCATAAAGGAATACTTCAAATTCTATAGACTCTGTTAAGTATACATGTACTTGTGTTCAAAACCCCAGAACAAGAATAAGTCTTATAAGTTATGCAAATATGACATTTATGTCAACATGATCAAATAGATATTACAGTGTCTGTGAGACCATGCCACAATTTCCACTTTTAGCTTTATACTATATATATATACATATATATATATATATATATATATATATATATATATGAATTAACATTCCCAAGGATAATAGTGTAAGGCTTTTATCTTATAAACTAGAGGCCCAGTGCACAGATTTGTGCATGGGGGAGGGGTCCCTCAGCCTCGGGGGGTCCCTCAGCCTCGGGGGATGTGACAGTGCACCAAGTGGCAGCAGCCAGGAACAAGCCTGAGCCGGGGCTGGGTGCCACGCCACTCGCACTCTTCCTGGCCCACTGCACCTGCCACCACTGTTCTGTAGCACTGCTGAGTAGTTGGGAGAGGTTCCTGCCACCACAGCTTTGCTCGCCAGTTGAGAGCCTGGCTTCTGGCTGAGCGGTGCTCCTCCTGTGGGAGCCCACAGACCACCAAGGGGCAGCTTCTGTGTTGAGTGTCTGCCCCCTGGTGGTCAGTGCATGTAACAGCAACTGGTCAACCAGTCATTCTGGTCATTCTGTCATAACGGTCACTTAGGCTTTTTATATATATACTAGAAGCCCGTTGCACGAAGATTTGCGCAATAGGCCTTCCTTCCCCTGGCTGCCAGCACTGGTTTTCCTCTGGCACCCAGGACCCAGGCCTTTGGTCTGGCTGCAGCAGAGAAGCCAAGCCTCGAGGCTAGGCTTCTCCTTTGCAACTACAGTGAGGCTTGGCTTCTCTGCTGTGGCCCCAGTGAGGCTTTGGTCTGGCTGCAGCAGAGAAGCCAAGCCTCTTCAGTCTTCAATCTTCAGTCTTCGTGCCACACCTGTGTATGCAAATTAACCACCATCTTTGTTGGGTTAATTTGCATAGTCGCTCTGATTGGCTGGTGGGCGTAGTGACACCAATTTGCATGTTTCTCTTTTATTAGTGTAGATATATATATTTTTTCTTTATTGATTAAAGTATTATATATTTCTCCTTTTCCCCCCATTGACCTCTCTCAGCCACTCCCACCCCCCAGCATATGGTTGATCTCTTACCCCCTCCCCCCCACCCTCCCTTGCTTTCCTTCTGAGGTTTAATGGTCTGTTCAGTGCTTCTCTGTCTCTGGATCTAGTTTTGTTCATCAGTTTATTTAAAGTTATAAAAAATTTATTTAGCTCTTCAAAATCAAAAGCATGAGCAATATAGTGGCTTTTCTGTCCTGTCTTTAGTTTAGTGAATTGAATTCTTACTGAACAGAATATTATATTATTGAGGCATATTGAATACAATGCTGTAATATTGTAAAACACATTTAAATGAATATTTAATATCAAATGCTGAATATACTTTATATATGAACTATTTTCATTACTATCTATGAATTTTTATATGCTTCTGTATGTTTTTTTCTATAAGCCAGTCATTCTTTTTACTGAATCTAAATTTCAACTTTATAATTATATTCAGCTTCTCCTACTTGCTCATCAAGTGAATATATATGTGCCAGCGGAGGATGTATTTCAGCATCTTTGAAATGTAATGGAGAATATGACTGTGCTGATGGTTCAGATGAGGTACAATCTATCATTTGATTAAAATCTCTGAATTACATGAATTAGATTTAGGAAAGCAAATGTAATAAAAATAGAGGAAAGTGACAGAATCTTGATTCTTATCTGTCTAAAATGCTAGAACTAGTACATTAACTACAGTAATTTCAACAAATACCTGAATTTTAATGTTGTTTATAGACTAAATCCCATTGTCATTTGCAGAGGTTGCATTCATTCAATCAAAATGAAAAAGCCCACTGTGTGGTCAGTCTCCAGTAGTGTCAGCTGCATGCTTCTTTTGCTTGTGACTGCATGTTATCATTAATAAAAACTACAGTGCCCATTTGTATTGGAACAGATGGACTGTGTGACTGAATGTAAGGAAGATCAGTTTCGATGCAGAAATAAAGCCCACTGTGTTCCAATTAGATGGCTGTGTGATGGAGTTCATGACTGTGTGGATGGCAGTGATGAAGAGAACTGTGACAGAGGTAAGGTATCCGTGTGTGTGTGTGTGTGTGTGTGTGTGTGTGTGTGTGTGTGTGTGCCTGCCATGAGTAGAAACAACAGTTAAGGCATTGTGCAGAATATATACTGTGCTAGAGGCAGAAGATAAGATCATTAAGTGCTGATGACTCTTTCTAGTTTCATTACATAATAGCCTGCTCTAAATAAGCAAAATCTGGATAATTTTCAGGAAGAGTATAATATCAGTCTTTGTACAATGATGACAACAAAATTCAAGTCTCTATCAAGTACTTGCCAAGAGCACATCTTTGGACTAGGTTCTGGGTCAGGTATAGAGATACTAGAAGAAAACAGGTAACATAGCTGCGAAAACCATTATTACAAAAGCATTTTCAGAGTACATTTGTCTACCACATTGCTTGCCTTATTCTGAATGAATAAAAATAACATATTACTACATTACTATATTACACATACTAATATGCTAGATCAGTGGTTTTCAACCTTCCTAATGCCGTGACCGTTTAATACAGTTCCTTATGTTGTGGTGACCCCCAATTTCATTGTTACAAATTGAACATAATTCAAGCATAGTGATTAATCACAAAAACAATATGTAATTATATTATGTGTTTTCCGATGGTCTTAGGCGACCCCTGTGAAAGGGTCGTTTGACCCCCAAAGGGGTCGTGACCCACAGGTTGAGAACCGCTGTGCTAGATCTATATAGGTTATAGTTTGTGCCCAGATTTCCTTCTTGACATGTGGTTGAGAAAATTGCCTACACTTTTTGTCAGTCTGGAAGACAACTTTGAGTTTTGTAGTATATTATTTTCCAGCTATGTGAAGATATTTCCTGACAGATAACAGCTTTTAGTTGTAAGTCACCACAATAAAATCAGTGATTATTACTACTTTAGAATTAATGAAATGAAAAGAAAGAAATTGTGTGGTGAAGCTTATAATGACCATAAATTACATAAGTCTTGTTATTTTCGTAATGTTAAATATATTATTAACTGATGGCTTTTTTAACTTGCTCACAGAAGTCTCTCAATAAACTTTATTTTTCAGAAATATTTGGAACATCATCAACAGATAATATCAGATATTGATATAGGTTGTAAGGTATTAGAACAGACACTCAGGATTTGTAGAGTATAAATGTATCTAAATGATTTACTTCTATAAATATCTATTCATTTGAGAATAAAAATTCTTCTACTTTCTCTAATATTAGTTCAAACCTTTATGATTTGCTCATATCTGCATCCTAGAACCTGATCAAGAATTATATTCAGCAGAAGAAAGCCTAGCTCTCATTTGGAATCTGCAATGCATTACAGAGAGCCATAAAGGTTAAACTTCCATAGCAGTTGTTTCTACTTTTGGTTAATTTCTCATCCACTTTCTGTAACTGGTCACTCTAGAGCCAGAAAGCTGTGTGGACAGTCTGACACAATCTTATGTAGTCTTTTATGTGAAGACTTTAGAGAAAAATTTAAGTTATTCATCTTTCTTCCATTTCATAACAGTGTATTTCTTTCTCCCATTGTTTCTTGCCTGGGCTCATGTAATACTACCTAACTGTTCTCCAATATGTCCTACTCAGTGCTACCAGGTTCATCTTCTTTACATGTAACTCAGATTATGTCAGTCTTGACTCAGTCTTCTTCCTTTCAGGTTCCATACAAATAACTCAACTGGCAGTCAGATTTCCATAAGAATGATCCCATTTTATATCCCCAGTCATATTCTACTAGAAGCCCGTTGCACAAAGATTCCCGCAATAGGCCTTCCTTCTCCTGGCTGCTGGCACCGGTTTTCCTCCGGCACCCGGGACCCAGGCCTTTGGTCTGGCCGCAGCGGAGAAGCCAAGTCTCTTCAGTCTTCAGTCTTCAGTCTTCACTCCACACCTGCATATGCAAATTAACCCAACAAAGTTGGCAGTTAATTTGCATAGTCACTCTGATTGGCTGGTGGGCATAGCAGAGTGACACCAATTTGTATGTTTCTCTTTCATTAGTGTAGATTATTTATTTTTAAATATAATATATCCTAGCCAAACTGGAAATAGTCAGTATTTCCAAGTGGGAAATATTCTAAACATCCACATACTTTTCAGCATCTTCCCTGATTCTTCTGCTATTTTCACCATCTTAATAACTCTGCCAATAAAAATTATATCTGTCCTTTCAAGTCCATCTCAATTACCACTGTCTTCAACCCAATTACAGTCTTTTTTTTTGGAGTTTCCCCAGCCACTCTTTGATTGCATTCCTATTAATTCATTCTTCCTTCTAATATAATTATTTCTGTATCATTTGAATGCATCCCCTGTTGAAATGTGAGTTTCTTGATGTCAACAATTACATATGCAAACAGAATGAGGAAATACATTTCAAGTCATGATATTATTATGTACAAAGTCATAGAGATGAGGGACAGTTTAGCAGTTTAGGAACCACAAGTAAATGAAGATTTATACTAGAACCTGGATTTAATATTAAACCTAATGAAAAGTTTTCCAAGGCTCTTAAGGAATCTTCTTTTTTTAAAAAAAAAATATAAAAAGGAGAGGGTGATAATTTTGTACTATATAATAGTGCAGATAATTTACCGAAATATGAATCTAGTTTCATTTCTTATCTACATGAAACTTTCTGTGCTCATTTTTTTCCCATGATATCAAATCCAACCACAGTGAAATGTCCCCAAGAACTGTAGGATTATCTAGAGAGAATGAAGAGGGTACAAGAGTGAAGAGAGCAATCTTATCAGGATTACTCTATTTTTTAAGTATTGGTTTTTATAAAAACTGAACAATGGAACTCAGGTTAGAAAGTCAAATGTTACATAAAAAAATTGAACATTATAGCATTTCACATCTGAGGTATCTCTCATATTTAAAACTATTCTAAATGTTTAAGCTTATTGTATTAAAGAATTGAGAACCTTTAACTCAATCACTTATAAATGTGTCAATGTTTCCCTCCCTTCCCTATTCATGCCTTTAACTTTTCTTGAGTGTTAGTTGTTGGTTGTTGTTTTTTTCCCACTACATAATTAAATTCCAATGAAGTATCTTGGTGGATAAAGCATTTGATCCTGTATGGATGTACCTTCAGGCATGACAAAGTTCAGATTTCCAGTATTTAATTTACTTCCAGGAAGTGGTTTAGGTTTGGATAAATGTACATCAAGGCACTGAGGAAACAGAATGCCAGAACTAACTCCTCTGCTGCTAAATCCAACTTTCATTCATCTCAAATCTGGACCTATGAGCTGACAGGGGCTAAGTGTTGGGGGCTGGATAAACATGGAATATTCTTCAAAGTGAATTAGTTTTACTGGTTTACTTTAGGAAAACTAAAACCCACAATGCTATGGAATTAGAAACAACATCTATATTTTAAAAGGTAAAATATGTTTCCTCAAAGAAACTTAGTATTTGCTTTGCCCTGAGCTCCCAAACTTTACTCCTTATAGCAATTTCCGTGGAAAAGATTGAGAGTTCTCTTTAGTAATCATCACCTTAAAATATGTAAGCTACTTATGTAAGTTACAAAATATTATTGTATATTAAAGTTTCTGTCAGCCCAAACTGAGATGAGAATTCTAGATGCTTAGTTTCTGTAGTGACACACTTGTCCAGATTTTTATGAACCTGCCAAGGGCTCCCTTATATTTAGACATAAGTTGTTAATTAATAAATACTTTCTATTGTCTAATAATCTCCTGTTGAGCTGATCAAGAACATGACTAGGAAACTGATATTATAATTCAGATAATCTCTTTTAAAATACCTAGTATACTTTTTTGTTGTTGTTTCTGTGTGCTTCATGCCAGTTCAAAATAAGCTTTTAAGTTATATAAGCTTTTAGAATGCCATGGTAGCCACCATGGTGCATTTTTTGAAATGCAAATTATTTATGATACAATAGGAAGCCTTTAGTAAGCTATCACAAAACTTTTGCCTTTCCGTTACAATTATGATTTCATTTTTATGTCTCTTCTTTTTAATAAAAGAGTGGCACATCCAACACTCCCATGGGGAAAATTATAATGTTATCTAATATACGTTAGTGAACTCATTTTTTCCTTTCAGCAATACTGATGTGCTACAAATAGAGTTTTCTAAAATAATCTGAAGATATGGAGTTCACAAATTTTTTTGAATTTAACTCATTGTACATTGGAACATGCAATGAGATTTAATCACTAGAATCTTATTTTGAAAGAATACAACCCTTTTTTATATTCTATGAATTTTGGTATTGAATTAAGCCAACAGTCATTTTAACTTTTTTTAGAACTGAAGACTGTGCAATTTATCTTTTTTATTGTTATCAGACAAAATTGGTACATAGTAATTTATTGCATGGGTTTTAGTAATTTAAATTATTTTAGATTAATTTAAATTAATTTTAAATTATTTTAGATTATTTAGATTGAGTTAGGGCATTTTAGAGCTAAAAATTGCAGAGTTTGAAAGAAAGGGGCATCCCAATGCCAGACACTATACTCTCAGAGGTCTCACATGATAGTATTCACTTTAGTGTTCTCGACCAGGACCTGCCTTTATATGTATCTTAGAGTTTGTTAATCGAGTTTGTTAGTCCTTAGAAATGTCAGTGTAAGCTGTACACTTCTGTTGAGATTTTTCCCCAGAAAATATTACAACTGTTCTGATTCATATCACTATACATTCTTGTTCTCAACTTCAACTATCTAAGATTCTAAGCAATGTACCTATATTTCTTTAATCATCTCTCTCTACCATTATGAATATCATATTTTTAATAAGTTGACTTTATTTCTCACCTTATACTTCACAGCAATCATAAATTTTGATCTTCTTTAAACATCTGACCACCAAATTAACAAAGCCACCCATACCTGTGCCCAGCCATTCCTCCGCCCTTCTATTAAAATGGAAGACTTGTCTCCCCTCCAGTCTAAGGATATTCTTTTCATTTTGCTATAAATATTAAATTTTTCACACTTTCTGAATTTTCAAAGAACTCATAATATCAATTACCCTCTCAAATGTAGCTACTCTAAGTCAAGTTATCATCAGTTATTTTCTGGGTTGCTGCAACCTCTCTTTCTTTTTTTCTTCCAGTCTTGGCTTTATCCCTCGCTATCTTGGTTTCCAAGTTCTCCACACTGTAGCTAGAATTATCATTCTAAAAGTTCAAATCTGATTCTGTAATTTCCTAAATTAAATCTTTGCTACTGGAAGTGAATTATTAGAGATCTGTGTGCAAGTCAAAACTCAGAACAAGAGCTATTTGACCTTCATAAGACTAGGCTCATTATTCACTCCAAACAGCATCCACAGTTGAACAATGCTTCATCCTAGGTATTTTGTAGGCTTGCAAGAATGAGCACTATTTCTCCCCAACCCCATGTCTAAATGAGCATATCCTTTTAAAAATATGTTAATACCTTCAATCATCAAATCTAGCCAGTGTATAAGCTATGTTTCTTATGTATGAGGTTTAAATAGGTAAAGTATTTCTCTGAGAAAAATCTTATTAATCTTAATTCTAAATTCCCATTAAGTATCTTTGTGTTGTTTCCCCATGCACAGCTTTCAAATATGAACTTATAAATTACTTTAACCATACATCTTTTGTAACATATGAAGACATTGAGTCCCAGAGAGATTAATGGACTTGTCCAAAGCAAAACAATGGAAGTTCCTAACTCCCCAACTATTGTGGTTTCTACTATGTATTACTATATACATAGACATATAACCAAAATTTATTAGTACTTTGGGTCCTTTGCATGTGGAAAGTGTACTTAATTTTGAGTTAGAATATCCTTATAGTCTCAATGCTTTCTATTTAATTGCAAAAAAGGAAAACATTTTAAAAATTAAAAATAGAGTACTTTATTGCATAAGTATGGTGAGGATGACTCTAATATTTCAATACATTGCCAATTTTTTATTTCTATATAAAATTATTTTTCTATGACAACACAACCTTTTTACTGGTTAATCTGTTTTCAGTGATTCAGTTTGTCAGTTTTAGATAATAGCTAAATTATCTCCTTTTCTGTGTCTTTTCTTTCCAGAACAATACAGTTTTTAATAATGAAGGTTAATACTATTTAAAATCTAAGTTTTCTTATGCTCAATTACATAAAAATATATGAAAAGGAAGATAATTTACATTTCAGAAAACTTTCTTTGAACAGATATTAGTATTATTTTTAAAGAAAAGATGACATACATGAGGGTAATACCAGATTGCTTTGAAAAGTAAACCTATAATATCTTTTTTAAAAATAGTTTGGACATCTCATATTAGATAGAAAAAAAATAAAGAACTGAGAAACTAGAATCTCTGCTAATTAGCAGAATACATGTTTTGCTGACTGGCTTTAATTATACTATATCTTTATGTTTGTTTTTAATAAAGGAGGAAATATATGTAGAGCAGATGAGTTCCTTTGCAATAATTCCCTCTGCAAACTCCATTTCTGGGTGTGCGACGGAGAGGACGACTGTGGAGACAACTCTGACGAAGCCCCGGACTTGTGTGGTGAGGCATTTCACGGCTCGAGCTTGCTCTCTCATCTCCCGATCTAATGCGCCCGCATGAATCAGTGAAGTGGTGAAGGGACCCACAAATCCTGCTGCCCTGGGTTAGGTAGATAAAGTGTAACCACAGATACAGCTTTTGTTCAAGTAGCAAGAGATTACCCTGTTCAAAGTTTATGACTTTATGGAGAGCCCTCTTAAATCTGAACTTTCACATGTCAACACTGTTCACAAGATAGATATGGTCTGCCTGAGAGGATTTAGAGTAGTTGACCTTTGGAATTGAGTAAGGTTCATCTAAGGACTTTGGCATCATATCAAATTGGTACTTTAGCCTAAAACAATTTTCCTTTGACAGATAAGTACATGGAAAAAATGTGAATAATAAAATTATATAGTTCTACATGGCTCCCACTACTGAGGCTGAAGTTGTTGAGAGGCATATCTAGTATATCTAAATTTATATCTATCTGGATAAATCTATATGAAGATATCTCTCTTTAGACATACGATACACGTTACACAGATAAGTGAATTAGGAGCTATTTAATATTTAAATCTAAAAATCTTAAATAACTTCCAGGGCCAGGAAATGGTTCTCAGCGACATGCCACACAGCTGCTGGAAAACTTATAAAATACATCTAGATTTATTCTCTGGATATTTTTTAATTCCCTCAGTCATTGGTACCAACATTGAGTCAAACTATTATGTGCTGGAGACTGTGCTAAAAAAATGGGAATTAAAAGCATGAGCACATGGTCCTTTTTACAAGGAGATATTTTGTTGGATAAATAGTATTTTCCATACATTATATTTCAGGCACTGGTAGAATTAAGTAAAAGGTACAGACAAGGCAGTGAGAATAGGATGAACTCTGCTTAAAGGGAAATTTTATCTTCAGAAAGAAGGAATGGTTTCTGAAGAGTCAGGGGATAAAAGGTTACATAAAAGGTGAAAAAAATAGTTTTGGATAGGAGTAGAGACTCATTCTCTGTTATTAAAATGTTTGAAATGAGTTAGTGAATTGATTGACTCTGTGTCGATGTGCAGTCATTTAATTAGACAATAACACATTTTTCATCCCTTTATTTCTACTTTTGTTGTGTGTGCCATCAGAAGCATATTCATATATAGAATGTGGAAGATTGGTGTTGTAGGGAAGTTTGAAAGGAATGCAAATTTGAATCATTATAGCAAAGTGAAAGAGAGCGACATGGCTAGATATATGTATAGGATTTTCAAGTAGTATTCAGGGCCCATCTGCCATTGATACATATTCATATATGTTATATCAGTTAGCCTTGTGATATGATCATCTGCAACATTCCTGAACTTCCCAGATGCAGACCATGGAATAGCAGATGGTTTACTCATCTAAGTTTGTGGGTTTTTAGATAACTAAGATTAAAAAGAGGAAAAGGCCAGAAAATTCAGATTATTTGAACAAATGTGATTTTCTAAGTGAGTGCTTGGAACAGTGTCCAACATATAATAAGTTATCAATAAGTATTTACCCAATGAGTATATTAAGAGATGAAACATGAAAGGTAATACCATTAGAGATGAAAATAAATACAAAAGAAGGCAGTGGAAAAGAGGGAAAAGGTAGATGTATCAATGGGCTAAGGCTGAGGTTTCAGCTTTATGTTTTAGCTAAGGCTGAAAAAGTGTCTTAATGAGACTGCTTGAATTTAAAAGTTGGAAAAGTAGCAGATTATGATCAGAATTTGGTGCATTCGAATTGGTGATTTTGTAAATGAAGTAATTGGAGGAAATATCAAATTCAGCTATACCATCCTATCTAATAATAGACAAACATGGTAATTGACCTTACCTTCACTATGCCTCCCATTGGCTAATCAGCGTGATATGCAAATTAACCGCCAACAAAGATGGCAGCTAATTTGCATACTGCAGGCAGGGCGGGACAGCGCCATCCCACCTGCCCTGCCGCCAACAGGGCCTGCTATCTGTGACCCGGGGCGGCGGGCATCCGGGCATCCCGTGTGCGACCCGACCTAGGGCGGCTGGGTGGTGCAGCAGCGATCGGCCAGTCCGCTGGCCTCCATCCGGGCATCCTGTGTGTGACCCGACCCGGGGCGGCACCCCAACCCCCGGATTGGCCCTGCCGTGTGTGTGACCCAGGGCAGCGTCCCAACCCCCGGATCTGCCCTGCCATCTGCCACCCGGGGAGCGGGGCCTAAGCCAGCAGGTGGTTATCTCCCGAGGGGTCCCAGACTGTGAGAGGGCACAAGTGGGGCTGAGGGACACCCCCCCACTTCCCCTCCCCCACCAGTGCACAAATTTTTGTGCACCGGGCCTCTAGTGTATAATAGTGCTCCTATTTGCAAGCAACACAAACTGTCATTGGCTGAATTTTTTAAAAGTTTGTTGAAGTCTTTCAATGTCCACAGCCTTCTTAGGGGAATGGATGGCCTAAATAGATTAAATATAAATACCTTTAGTTTGAGAAACTTAAAGAACTAAGAGGTCCACTCATTGGGTGGTTTGCTCATTTGGATGTTGAAATCACCTAGGATGTGGAATTAATTTGGATGAAGGGTAGGTACTACAGTCTTCAGTGAATTAAGGAGAGTTTGATGTTTATGAAGTTGATGAGAAAATAGCAATAAGAAAGAGGTATAATCAAATTCTTGACCCTCAAAATAGCAGTTTTTGTTTTAGTTTATTTTTAAAATAGAATGTGAAAAAATATGGTAATAAAATTCCGGAAGCTGTAGTAGGAAACTAGGATATCTTCAAACATGAAATAACATGAGGTTTGAGCAATTTAAGAGACATTCCTAAAATACCTATAGGGAGGAACTATGCTTAGAGTAACAAGCAGATTTTAGTTAAAGCGAGGAGGTCAGCAAGGAGGATAGGGCATATTTAAGGAGCTAATAAAGTAGCATTGCTACATGTCGGAGTACTTACTCCTTGATCCTGCTCGACTACACCAACTGTGAGGTGCACAGATCCTCTGCCAGGAACTGGACCTTCATGAACACCGGGTATGAGATGGAGGAGACATGAGAAGTCATTGCAGGGACATAAGAGAGACTTTATTGTAGACCAAGTAGCCATTGCTAACCAAGGAGCCATCAGATATAACAGTTCTTCAAAGTAGCCTTACAAAGCAGCAGCCACAGCCAACAGGAGCCCTTGCTAACATAGCAGCCCAACGAAATAGCCATGCACTGGCTGGTCAGCAACACATCTTTATACCAACTCAGACAAAAGAAGCTTCTTGCCAAATAGTGACATCAATATTTGGGTTATAGAAAAGTGCACCTGCACAGTGCATGCAGTAAGTTTGCTGTTTACTTGCTTTTGCACCTGCATAGGCAACTTGGCCTTGAACCTCTGGTGTACGCTGATTAGGGTTCCCACACTCAAAGATTAGGAGTGATAAGAGATAAGTCTGTAAGAGTGGCATGGATAAGGTAATGATACATCTATTATGCCATGTAAAATACCTCAAATCTTTTTCTGAAAGTGATAGATAAGTCTAGAAGAGATAATTAGATTAATGTGTTTGGTGGATTGTTATGGTGGCTTTTGGAGAATCTTGGGTTAGGCAGTAAAACTGAGACATTTAGGGTTCTACTAAAGTCCTGTCAGAGATAATAAAGAATTGTTCTATTGTGATTGTAACTGGTACGCATGGAAAGAAGAGGACAAGCTAGGGGACAATATCATCTGAACTTGTTGAGTAATCACAGTCAAAGGACAATGAGAGGAATGCATTTAGAATAATCCCAGACAAATGGCTATGATGGGCCACTAACAGAACTATGGAAATAGACAAATCTTATGTTTGGAGACAAGGGAGTTGAGGAAAGAAGAGAAGGAATTGAGTTTTGAACTTGTTGAATTTAAGATTTCCATGGGAAAGTTCTATAATTAATTGTGAAATACTATAATTGGATATCAAGTTGCAAGTCTTCAGGGTATAGAGTCAATGAAAATGTCTAAGCAGAGAATTCAAGAGTGAGAACCTGAGGGAATCAAAGAGAGAACCCTGTAATATTCTATGAGGATGAAGAGTTATTATAAATATTTCCTACTTCATGGGTGGAAGTCTTTTGAAGAGATAGTGATAGAAAGGACAAAAATAGAATTCACTGGCTTCCATTAGTATCTCTTGCTCTCTCTCTCTCTCTCTCTCTCTCTCTCTCTCACACACACACACACACACACACACACACACTAAAATGAATAAACTGCCTATCCTGGTCAATATGGCTCAGTTGATTAAGTGTTGTCCTGTGCACAGAAGGGATGCCAGTTTGATTCCCAGTCAGGGCATATGACTGGGTTTCAGGCTTAATCCCTGTTGGGGGGTGTGCAGGAGGCAGCCAATCAATGTTTCTCTCTCTCTTCCTCTCTAAAATCAATAAAAAACATATTTAAAAAAATGAATAAACTAAGATCACCTTATGTGCCTCAAATACATAACTACACATTTGTTTGACATAGAGGAAGAAGCCCAGCTATAGTATTATTGAGGTTTTTTTGTTTTGTTTTGTGTTTTTGTTTTTTTGTTTTTCACTGAATGGCCTACTTTCAGTTTTGGGCCTGTAACATATGCTTGCTGAAGCTCCATTTGGTGTGAAATTGCTCTTTCAGATAGTAAGTGTCCTGCCATGTTGTATAAACCGAAGGCATAAATTAATTTGGTACACCTAGTGAAGGCAGCTAAGATAAGGCATCTGGAAATGAGACCATGAAATTTGTCTCTTTTTCTTATTTCATTCAACATTTCAGCTGTGCTCTCTTTTCTGTAGTTAATATAAATAACTAGGATCATAAGCTTCTATTATCACGCATTTTTCCTAGTATCTACTTGTAGGCAATTTCCATAACAAAAGATATTCAGAAAAGCTAGATTATGGATTTGAAAAGAAAGAAAAAACTAAAAGAAAGGCGAAAGATGAATAGTTGTTCAAAAGTCAGTGTATCCAATGGAGCTGCTTTGTTTGTTTTTGTTTTGCTTTCAGTCAAATTTCTTTGCCCAACCACAAGACCTTACAGATGCAGAAATAACAGGATATGCCTGCAGTCTGAGCAGATGTGCAATGGGATTGATGACTGTGGGGACAACTCAGACGAAGATCACTGTGGTGGTAAATCCATTTAATGTGAAATAATTGATTAAGTGACAGCTATAAAATAATAAAATGATTTTAGAGCTCAAAAAAATTTTTAAAAGGTTTCATGTGTATGTCTGAGCGTAGTTTTTAGACACTTGATTATCTGACAGAATATGAAAATCATCTGCTAACATTTTCTTTGCATAGTAGCACTGTGCAACTTAATCCAGAATCTCCACTCGTCCATAAATCTCCTTATAGGTACTTTGTTAAGGAAAATACTGTGTAAGAGAAATAACATAGTGGTTTAAAAATGTTCTGTAAAAGATCTCCTTGGGTCGGAGTGGGCTTATATTGATTGTATGTATGTGCACCCAACCCCTTTTTCACAATTCTGAAATTAAAAACTCTTAAATCAAAAGTTTTACTGAAGTATGTGTCAAAACTGGTGACAAATACTGACTTGATCTGGTCTGTGGCAGTTTATAGTGCTTAAAAAAATCCCACTCAGTATTATATTCACACATTTTCCTGTGGAAATATGGTGGTATTTACTATAAGGTAAATACACTGCTATATTATAAAAATCAACAACATTTCAGAAATTTTAAATTTGGCCCCAAGAGCTTCAAATAAAGGATTGTGGACCCATGTGTTTTTATAGTATTTAGTAAAATCTTGGACTTGCTATATTCTCAATAAATTTGTTTTGATTTGATGAAATTCCAATTATTTTTAATGACCTTGTAGGTAAGCTTACATATAAAGCAAGACCTTGTAAAAAAGACGAGTTTGCTTGCAGCAATAAAAAGTGCATACCCATGGACCTCCAGTGTGATCAGCTGGATGACTGTGGAGATGGTTCCGATGAACAAGGCTGCAGAATGTGTGAGTTTGTTTTCTTTTCAAGTGCCGTGGCACACAAGTTCAATTCTTGCTTTCTTATGAGCAAATTTATTTTACTATTCTGAGAAAAATATTTCTGTTCAAGATGTGCTTAAGTAATACCATTTGTTAAGCTTTAACCAAAGCAAATATGGACATCACTTAAGTTAATATCTGAAATTGTGAGGTGGGAAAGGCTGATTTTGCTATGAGTGACTTTATTGGAGCTGTAGCTGAGAACTCAATATTCAAATACAAATTTTGACGTTCAGCAAAGAAATCTATATCACTTAATATTTTAGTTTATAAAATATAATGTTAATACTTTTTTGAATTTTATAAGCTTTGATGTTTCTTTACTGATGATAAAGGTCTTAATAATTTTTCAATGTTTTAAAATTTTAACCTATTGCCAAATTATTCTTAGAGAAACTATCATTATTTTATTCAATTAGAGTGCTATGATAATTGAGCTATTAGACCTTGACTATTAAGCATTTTGTATTTAGATAACGTTTGATATTTGATTTTTTATATTAAGAAAATGGTTGAATTTAAGACCATAAATTAAGGTTACTTATAAAAGCCACTAAATACTTCCTACTTTTGAGTCTTTTATTATTTTCTTATTTATGCATCTAAGTTGTTCCTCACTGGCTGATGAAGCAACGCACATCAGGATACGGCTACATATCTCATCCATAGTATAATTCCGCTTGTGTAATTTAATTAATTGTAAACTATTCAAGAGTTAGTGGGGATTAATAATGCTTACAATTTTGATAATGAGAGTTCTCATATTTCTCAATAATTTGAGTTGTTTAGGCAAAATAGGGATAATTTAATATTATCCCTATAATATCTTGTCTTTATTTAATTGCATTCTAAAATGTTTTCCTGGATGGGAGATGAAGCAGTGAAATGATAACAAGTATGTTTGGAATTACATATAATTCAAAGTCCTTCCTAACCTGTATTGCAGCCCAAGACCATTGGAACATGTTATACACTCAATCCTCATATGTGTCCCTGTAAAAGTTTAAGAACTGCTGGTTATGCCTACCTGCTCGAGTAACATGTATATATGATTATGTCCCTGAACACTGAGTTTAGCTTAAACAGAAATGGCTACAACTCTAGGTAGTTTCTAGGAGATGTTTTGGTCATTAGAGAAGGATGCAGAACTCGTGCATCATAATATAGTAAAGAGAGCTTGTCATTAGAATCACTTATTCTTTTTGAAATTTTATTTTTATTGTTGAAGGTATTACAGATGTGCCCTTTATTCCCCATTGACACCTTCTAGCCCCCACCTGCCCCCACCCAGGTGTTCACCACACTATTGTCTGTGTCCATAGGTTATGCATATAAGTTTTTTGGTTAATTTCTTCCCACCCACCCAACCCCAAGACATAGAAGCATGGAACAGACTGTCTACTCTAAAAGAATCATTGATTATTGACTTCCTTTTAGAAAGTAGTTTAACTTGGTAACAGCTGCAGGCAGTTTGGTCTAAACTACTTCAATGTAAATGAGTTCAGTTTTTATCCTCTTCTTTACCTTTAATAGAGAAGAGGGCTCATATGGAGAGACCATAATTTTATTAATTCAAAAAAGAGTCATCTAGGGTAAAATGCATATAATTTTAAATTAAGAACAAAAGTAAACTCCTACTTCAGGAATTACAGCTATATTAGTTTTGATCATATTTTTTAATCCCAGCTCCCAATGAATATACCTGTGAAGATAATGTGAATCCATGTGGAGATGATGCATATTGTAATCAAATAAAAACATCTGTTTTCTGTCGCTGTAAGCCTGGATTTCAGAGAAACATGAAAAACAGACAGTGTGAAGGTATAGTACATTCCCTCAACAGCTTGCTCTTAAATCTTTAGGTTATAAAAGACTCCCAAAGCTGCTAAATTGGAAGATGACAGGGGGATTGATTTTCATCAAAATGGTGTGTATCTGCGGGTTACCAGTTTACTTATGAGAATGAAAGTCCCTGGGGTCAAGAGCCTGTTTGTTTTTACTGCTAAGCTAATCATCTCGGAGGCTACAGAGCCTTGTCTGTAGCTGATTCAGACCGCCAGGAATTTCATGGTGGTGTTACAATTCTGTTTTGAAATGCAAGTAATGGAATTGCTGGTTCAGGAACCATTGCAGAATTAGAGGCACTTCATGAAAGAACATGTTTATGATAACCCATTTCTTTTCCGTTGTGGCACTTTCAGTAATGCAATAGGCAATTCACTTCTAGAGAAGTGTGGGCTTTTGTCCTAACACCATGTACTTTGTATTGCCAAGAGGTGTCTTTTAAAATTCAAAGACAGGATTTAAATAAATCTCTGTCAGCTTACTTGACATCATTTAAAAACTGAGCATGTAGGCTAGGCAGAATCTCATAGTAAGTTATATGTAAATACAATTTAAATCAGGCTTTAACTATAGAGTCATGAAATACCATATGCACTTTCTGCAAGTTTCTTTATTAAAATTGGTATTATTATGATTAGAACCATACCTAAATCATCTGTCTGGCTTATCCAGGATAAATTCAAATCTTAAAATGCTTTCACCTACCAGCTTCCTTTACTACTGTCTATGTTATTCTTGGGTTAAAAAGGGGGAGGGGAGAGTTAAATAACGTCAATCAAAATGGAATTATGGAAATAAATTAATGAAACTCAGTCCATAGGGAAACAAGTGTAACCATGTCACAGTTATGTAAATTTTGAGTTATATACTTGTTTGGATTTTTCATGAAATGTAATTTTTCCATTAACATGGAACACTGAAAACTGGCAACTTCTTCCTTTTTTTAAAAAAGAAAGCAAATTATTTCTCATGGCTAGAATATTTCTTGCTTTTTAGAAACCCCACTACACATATACTACATACATTACAAGCACAAAATCTCTTCAAGATTTTAATATCAAGTAACATTAATTAGTTCACATTTATTTGGGCTATGTTTCTTGTATATACTTACAAATTTAGAAATCCTATTCTGAAAATTTTCATTTTTAGTTATATTTCATGGCAAATATAACCTGCAAGTTCCAGTCTGGTTTAAATTGCTATGGATCCACTCAAACTTCTGTTGTGCAAATGAACAACATTTTAATTCTAATAAAATTTGCATCTTTATTTGATAAATGAAGATTTAACATAAGGAAAAGCAGTTTTGACTTGGTGTGAAGGAAGGGATAGACATTACCTTGATTTGTAATCAAATTAATTTATATTTGTGCTCTTTCTTTATGTGGCTCCAAAAAGATAGCATAAGAAATGGTTATATGATGTCAAAGCCAACACTCTTCAATTGGAATATCTAAAGGAAGGGTGGGGAACCTGTTTCCTGCGAAGGGCCATTTGGATATTTTATAACATCATTTGAGGGGCATACAAAATTATCAACTTAAAAATCATCCCTCTATATTTGGTCAAACATTTAATTCGTTTACCCCCAATGCCTCAGCAGGGCCAGACCAAATGATTTCAAGGGTCTTATATGAGATCCAAGTGCCAGACATTCCCCACCCCTGGTCAAAGAAATAACAAGGATAGCAGAATAGCAGTAGAAATGGAATGGCAATGGCTGTGTGCAAGGCACTATTCTAGATATCGGCCATATGTGGGATTCCTCTGTCCGTCTGCTTCCAAAGCTCATAAAACAGGCATCTTTGTAGAGATGAAGAAAAATGCTAATCCTGGCCACCACAGGGCCATGTGAGGGAACTGAGGCTTTCTTAAATCAAGCACATTTTTGCATATTTTGATTTCCTGTAAAAGGGAAACCATAGTATTAAGTAACTTACTGTTTAAAATCACAGGTACCAACCAAACAAAAAATATTTATAGTAACAAGTCTTCAGTGATTAAATGCTGATAATATCTATTTTCCTTATCTCATTTCTCTACTTTTCAAACATAGAATGAGCTGTCATGAGAGTGCTTAAGTTCTCCTCAAAGTATCATAATAGATACAACAGAATCAGAAAGCCCGGGTGTAAGCCTGGGCACAGTCATTTACAAGTGCCACTACCATACCCTTTGGAACATTGTTTAGTGCTAACCAAATGATAAATATTACTGTGATTATCCTTAAGTTCTCTAATTCAAGGGGAAGACTTGTATCACAGATTTATTACATAATTAGGACAAATACACGTGATAAAAGGAGCCAAGGAATTAGGCTGATTGAAAGCAAAAAAAGAGGAAGAAAAGGAGAAAGTAGATAATTCACCATAATCAGCTGATGTCAATCCTGGCCTTGCGTAAGCCATTACAATCAAAGGCAGGTGCTAAACCACAGAATATTGCCTGTGATCTATTGATTTATTACTTATGATATTTATGTATGTGTTTATTTATTATTTACATACGCACCCAGCTTTTGTTTGTTTCACATAGCCCTTCTTGTTACATAGACACTGCATATATATGAAACCAGTGGTATATTAGAGATATATCCATATCTTCATTCTCTTCCAGGCATTATGCAAAATGTTGGCAATATAAAATGAATAAATCATAAATTATGCCCTGAAGAACTGACAGTCAAGTAGGAGATATGAATATATAAGAACATACCTGCAATATAGTGTGAACAATACTGTAAGAGAAAAACATTAAAACAGCAGAGCACAGAAAGTTTGGGATGGATAGTCACTATTTTATGTTGATGGAGATGAAGGAAGGCTTCGCATTAGGTAGATCTTGAGAAATGAGTAGAAATTATGTGCATTAAAGTGGGAAAGGACATTATGGGACAAAGGAACAAGTATATGATATGTGCAAAGATATAGTTTGGTAATTAGAAACAGGCTTAAAAGGAAACCTTGAGATCTGTTTATTTGAGTAAATGAAAACACTAGGGGAGTTTGAAATGGATATTTTAATGTTTTAAGTGGACTAACAAGCAATGTACAAACAACTTATAAATTATTATAGTGAAACTATTGTGAAAAATTATCATTGCCTAAAAAATTACAAAAGTCACAGATAAGGCTTTGAAAGAACAATAACAACAAAATAGAAATAAGTTAAAAAAATGTCATTTAGAAATGTAGAAAGAATGGAAGTGCTAATTGGGGTATGATGATGCTATTTTGAGTTCTTCTTTACAGATGTTAATGAATGTTTGGTCTTTGGCACATGTTCCCACAAATGTATAAATATGGAAGGATCGTATAAATGTGTGTGCGACCAGAATTTTCAAGAAAGAAACAGCACCTGCATAGCAAGAGGTAAGGTTATAGCCATTATTTCAAAGCTCGTATAATTTTGCTATATATATCTTATGGTGAAAAAAAGGTTCATGTTGTATTTTAACAATAGTTTCATGCCTGATAATATTAAATGTCTGTATTTAATGATGATTAATTTGGCCAGTTAGTTTATTATTTTTACTTAATTTAATTTTGGATGGTTTGTAGACATGACAAACAGTTAACTGTTAAAGTCATTTTTGTGCTTGAATCATTTTGTCAGTAAGTGTAAAAGTATAAAAGCAAATGTGATAGAATAGGAAAGTATTTTCTTTATGGTCTACTCTCTGTGCATTTAGAAATTAATACACCATTGGGATAAAAATAACAGTTTAGCCCTAGCTGGTTTGGCTCAGTCAGTGGATAGAGTGTTGGCCTGCAGACTGAAGGGTTCCAGGTTTGATTCTGGTCAAGGGTACATGCTAGGGTTTCGGGCTCTATCTCCAGTAGGGGGCATGCAGGAGACGGCCGATCAATGATTTTCTCTCATCATTGATATTTCTATCTCTCTCTTCCTCTCCCTTCCTCTGTGAAATCAATAAAAATGTATTTAAAAAAATAGGTTAAAGGTTAGCAGTATAAGGAGAATGGAATTTTGAGTAAGAATTTAAAAGGTTTTCAAGTAAAACTTTGCTTTCAAGTTCAGATTGCCTCCACTTAATAATATCATTAAAAAAAATCTTCATTGTTGAAATATTACATATGTCACCTTTTTCCCAAATAGGGGAATAATATCATTTTAATTAATGAAATGACAGTTATGAATCTGGTGCTCTTTTAGGTATGGATTTTAATGCTCATATGTTTTGAGTAAATAATACTATAACTTAAATATTGGTAGCTGCAGGGTATGATTGCACAATGTTAATATGATAGTTATTATAAGAGGAAGACAATGTGATATAGTGGATCAAGGATGAGCTATGAGTTACATGTACTTTGCCTGGGGAAGTTATTTAACTCTGAGCCTCAGTTCCTCGCCTGTAAAATGGGAATACTAATACCTATACCTACTTCCCATGATGGTTGTAAGAAGAGGAGAAAAATTGTGAAAGGCTTAACACAGGGTCTGCCACATAGTATCCTTTCACTAAGTGAGGGCTACTAAACTTAGAGAGCTGAACTGTGCCTTGTGAATAATGATTTTTGTAAATTTACAGATATTAAGTATGCCATTCAATCTTACTTTATGGTTTCATTGATATTTTAATTAATAATTTCAGGATTTACTTTAGGGTTTTACTTGTCTCAGGATAAACATAACATTAGTACAGTATTGTAGGTGTAAAAACTTCAGGCTAGAAAGTTCCGCTTAGCACGATTCTAGGTAATATTGAGATGATGACACTTTAATATAGTAAATACTGATATATTTATATAATAAACATAAAAGAATATTTAGGATACATGAATATTAGAAGAGGCTCTTCATATCTTAATCATCATTTCTTAGCCTAAGGTAATGATCACTCAGGTGCATAAACTAAATGCTCAGAAATATTTAAAGCTTAATGAGTACACAATATAACATCTGGATATTTAAAAAAGCATTAGAAAATGACTTGCCCAAAGAAATCCCTCTTTATACAAAGGATAACTGCTAAAAATGCCTAATCTTTACTCAGAAGGTAAGTTTTGCCCTAGAAAAACCTACATTAATTACTCTTAAACATAAGTGGTGAAGATTAAAAAACAGTATAGAGTTGATTTTTATTGAATAAGAAACTGTTTTAAGAATAACAATTCAAGATAACTTAATAGTATAATCATTGCTTCTACATTAGTTGAAATTTACTTTATTTTTGTATTTTATTATAATAATCTCCAGGCTCTGAAGATGAAGTTCTCTACATTGCTAATGACACTGATATCCTGGGTTTTATATATCCATTCAACTACAGTGGCGATCATCAACAAATTTCTCATGTTGAACATAATTCAAGGATAACAGGGATGGATGTATATTATCAAAGAGATATGATTATTTGGAGTACTCAGTTTAATCCAGGCGGGATTTTCTACAAAAGGATCCATGACAGAGAAAAAAGGCAAGCAAACAGTGGCTTGATTGTAAGTAAATAACATTGAATATTTGAAGGTTCACACCTTCCACCTCCGTGTTTTATTTTAATCTATCAATGATGGTGTCTGATTATAGGAGGTAACACATTCAATGATTCCTCCCAATATTTTCTCTATGTAGAAATAAAACATTTCTCTATTTATTTTTTCTCATAGCTGCATATAAATTTAGTTTAATTGAATGCTATCATACTTTTGTTTTAATGAATTTGACAGTTATATAAGAATGGTAACAAATAATAAACAATCCTACAATATTTAATATTTTATAGTGTTTAAAAATGTATTATGAACATGAGGGTTGTTTTTTTTATCATGAGATAAGATTGTACCATTACTTCATTTTTGTTAGAGAATAAAATGTCAAAATATACAGGTATAATCATTTCATTTTTAACACTATGAGAAATATACTTGTATTCTAGGGCAAGAGAACAACTCCATAGTGTAAGCATTTTTTCTGACTTTTGATAACTATATTTCAGGAAACCTCCAAAACAGAGCAATATTGTTTGCTAGTATATGATGGACACATTGATTATCATGGTTATTCCTTCTGAGGAAAATAAACTAGAACATTTTTTTAGATTTGTGATTGTAGACTACCCTCTTTTTGTTTTAGGGCATGTCAATTTGTTTTAGGGCATGTCCATTTATTTTTTGAAGTAACCTTGGAGAAAAAAAATGACAGATAAATAATTTTTATTGGGCCTGGCCCATTGTCATACAACCAAAAAAGTCAAGTGCTATCACATTAGGATGTAATTTAAGCTTTGTATTTCAAAAGAATCAGAGGTACCTATCTGGAAGTCCTCACTACATTTCCCAGTGGTATCTACCATAAAGATTTGAACTACATGAATACCATTTGAGAGAATTCTGGGACATATTTTTTTTAATATATTTTATTGATTTTTTTACAGAGAGGAAGTGAGAGGGATAGAGAGTTAGAAACATCTATGAGAGAGAAACATCGATCAGCTGCCTCCTGCACACCCCCTACTGGGGATGTACCCGCAACCAAGGTACATGCCCTTGACTGGAATCGAACCTGGGACCCTTCAGTCCGCAGGCCAATGCTCTAGCCACTGAGCCAAACCGGTTAGGGCTGGGACATATTTTTTATCAATTGTAGATAGCAATAAGCTGGTTTTAAAAGAAGCAGTAAGTAAAAGTTCGTATTTATCAGAGTTGTTTCTTCAGTTCTTCCTGTCCCAAACAGAATCTTATCACTTTAGTCCTTTTAAGAACAGCTCCAGGACAGAACCAAGAAATTTAGTAGATAACTCTGCCTTCCCCATCACTCACATATAATCTACTTCCTCTTTAACAGACCAAAGGCAGACTAAGAGTCTTGGCTAGCTTTAGCTTTTCTTTATCTCTAAAACAGAAGTCTGCTTTGCAAAAACATTGTTCCTACGGTACCATTTCATCTGTTATTAATGAAGTGATAAAGGACATATCACTTCATTACAATGCTTGGGTTTTAATTTTGTTTCAATTGCTGACTAGTCTCTTAGCTTCTCTATATTCTATTGCATAAAGTTTATTGAGGGATATGTATGTTTATTATTGTTAACAGTTTTGGGCACATAGTAAGAACTGTCTATATATTTGCTATTAAAAGGATGATGATGATAATGATGGTGATAATGGTGATGTTTTTGATGATAATTGGCAAGGAAGGTGTTCTCTATGACACATTATCATATTAAAATTATTCATAACTTACTCTTGTCTGAATTTCATAGCTGCTAAAATACATCTATAATTAATTTCAATATAAATTTTTAGTGAAAATGATTTGATAATTGTTTTGGTTTTGTGCTTGGAGAGATTGATGACCAGTGTCCTCTAGTGAACAGAGTTTATTGTAGATCATGAGGCCAAATTTATTTAATGTTTGGCAACTAAGTTTTTATTTTTATACATACAAACTATAAATGTGTATATTTTATTGGTATATTGTATATTTATTTACATCCATATATTTTAAATATTTTAATCCTTATTTTTTAATGTGCTATAGAATATTTTATAGCCAGTGGCAAAGCTACTGTTTAGCTTTTGTCCAGTAGGATATGAAACTTAATTTAGTCTTTTAATGATAGTAATTATTTGTGTTATATCATCTAGAGTTTCTGTTTGTTTGTTTTTCCTCTCTTCATATACCTATGCATGACTAACAGTATTAACTAGGAAGAAAATTGGATAACAGTAGAGTACATTTTCTAAGGGTCTTTATGAGTGAACTAAATGTCCTGCTTATAAGGTTTCAACCTCTGAGCCATGAGTTTTAGCACCATGTTCAAAGCCATTAAGCATTCCATATAAATTTCAGCCTACACATTGTTTTTAAAATAGTACTTAAGGCTACAGTAATGAAGGAAATTATTTAACTTTGCTTCCTGAATCTTTTTTTGTAATTATCTCTATATTGTAAGTATGGAATAAAGCCACCTTAATTTAATGAGCAATGTGTATTCTAGAGTAATTAAATGACTTACCTATATGCAGCTAAAATGTGACCAAATTTAAACTTTAACTTAAAAGACTTGTTACATCTTTGAGTCTCAGCTTACTCATTTGATAAGTAACTATAGCATTGGAGTAGACAATTTCTAAAATCCCTCCTAGAAAGTAAATATATATGATTTCCAAAAGATGTGACATAGTTATGTCTATCAAGTTATTACCTGGACGATTTGTATTTATTCCTCTAAAATCTATCTTGTGTATAGATAATTGATTTTCTACCCTTACACAGTACTCTGCCATGTATTGTATTTGCTCTTTTATGGACACCATCTAGTCATCTATTAGTTTAATGAGCATGTGATCTGTTTCATCGAAGTGTTGATACAAATATTAAATGATACTTACTGATACTTACCTGGGAATTACCCACTCCTTGGAAAATAAAACTAAAGACTTTTTTTCTAAGCTGAATATGGAACATTGATTTCTTTTTCTGAATCAATAGGTTAAAGAAAAAAAATAAAACTATGCATACATTACTTGTAACCCATTTTCAATTAACCAAATGGGAGGAGTTAGACATGTGATAGCCAAATGTCTTGAAAGCATATTCATAGACATTGAAAATTTTGGAATATTTCCTTCCATGTAAAGAGTAGGAAATATGTTATATCAGATACCAGAGGAAGACTACTCAGACAACTAAATGTTTACTGAAGTCCATTCCAAAGAAAGGTAACATTTAATATGATGTAGGGTTTTGGAAGTCATGAAGGGAATATTCTTCTGTCGTCTCTGAAAATGGTTGCAATACTAATTATAATTACAAATTTAAATTTCGAATGCAGACTAAGTTATTTATACATAGAAATGCTTATTATTTTATAACCCCCAGGGCTATACAAAATGAATGATTTCTTTAAGAAAATTAAATAATTCAAAACTTAAAAGACTAACATGATTCAATCTATATGTAAAGTATAATGAGATTTCTGAATTTGAATTTTAATAGTTGGAACAGAATATGATAACATTATGCTACAATTGAACATACTTTATGACAATTTATCATTTCTAGTATGAAATGCTGTGCAGCAAAGTACATGATGACAAGCACTATAAAGTAGGTCAATGCTTGTAAAAATGCAAATGACTAAAAATATAGATTAGATTCTTACCATTAAAGAACTAAATATTCCTGAGCAAAACAAATGGTTCATCTGATATACCTGATTTTGTGAAGTGAATATGAGATACTATATTTGGCATACTCTCTATTATGCAAAAGAGAATGTTCAGAATGCACATGCTTATAATTTTTTCCATTAATAATCATATTTTTTCAAAAAGTTTATTTGAACTTTTTTAGCCCTGAAAATCTTTTCACAAAATATCCTGTTATCTTTACTAGGTTTCAATTTTTAATTGGAGTCCTAGCTAAATCCTCAATATATGCACAAACACATGCACACACACACACATACACTTGAGTGAATAGGTGTACATATGTACCCACACTTAAGAATGTGTGTATGTGTGTGTGTAGCAAAATCTTCAAAGTATTATTTTAGGACATTTAGATACAGTGAAAATTGATAGTTTCTTTTTTATTTTTTCTTTATTATTATAAATTCATTGTAACCATTATAATTCTAATTGAAATTGTCTATACTTGCATAGCAAGAATACTTTTAAAACCATCTGAGTTTATTCAAACTAGTCCACAACTACAATAACTTATTATGATTATTCTGGAAGAAATCTAAAACTATCAGATCATTACATTATTGCCATTTTCTGTTGTTGATTGCATAAGACAGACATTGAACAATAGATACTCATTAAAGTTAAATTGTTCTGTACAGTTATATCAATATTCAAAATTGTACTGAACATAAATTTTATATGGCTATATAAAACATATGATTATATAATTAATAATCCTGAAGAAACTATTGATTAGACTATATAGTATTTTAAGGAGAACCCGGCAAGTTTTATTCATTTCCAAAGCTTTATTTAAAGGTTTCTATTTATTAGGTTTGGTGCTGGGTTCTCAGGATACAAGAACTATAACAAGAGTCTTGTTATCATGAAGGTTAGATTCTGGGGAACAAAGACAGAGTCAAGTAAACATATAAGTAAATAAATACAAAAAAATTCTCATTTTAAAAAGTATATTGAAGTAAATAAATAACGAACTAAGAAAGAAGCACTCAGATGTTGTAAGTATTCTTTGTATGGGATGTTCAGTAAAGACTCATGCGAAGAGAGGAGATTTGAGCTAGACCTAAGAGGAAGTAATGTCATCTTATTTATATCTAAGACAACTAACTAGCTTTTTAATGTAGAGAATGGATTAGGTGTAGGGAAAGCTCAAATAGATACAGACCACTTAGGAGGATTGTGTCTCAAGTTAGAAATATTGGTAAGTTACACAATTGTAGTCTCAATGGAATGGAAGGTAGTGAGTAGAAATTTAGCTAAAAATGTTTGCAAATAGCATGAAT